TGCAAGCTTTGTGCTGCCGGGGTCATGGAAACCTCCCGGTTTGTCTTCTTCTCTTTCAGCCCGTGGGAACGCACCGACCAGGGGGTCTGTCTCAGCTTCGGTGGAAAAAACATGAGGTTGAGCTGATGTTAACAAGCTGAGCCTGGCTTCCCGCGGTGCCCTGGGAGATGCTCCGGGATTCTCCAGACGTGCCTAAGCCGGGTCTGCCTTGTGTCACACCAGGAGCTTTGGGCAAGCACATGCTGGCAGGAAACCCTCTGTGTCAGGAACCCCTCTGTGCCAGGAACCCCTCTGTGTCAGAGCACTGGGGGCTTTGGCGCTTTGAAGGCACCGCGTCTGCTTTAACCCCGCTGGTGCCATGGAGCGACCCGTCCCAGCGCCCTCCCTCATGCCGGTCCTCCGCTCCTACACAGGGCACCCAGGGACAGGGGCTGTGGGCTCTGCACCCACCTCCTCAAGGGGCTTCGTTGTGGTAGAGACCAGGCTCAGCACCTGGACAATGCAAAGACGAGTAAAATCGACCCTTAACTCCCTTCTTCATGTGAGCAGTGTGGGGGAGCCTGTGCCAAGGTGTGACATGCTCCTCACTGCCCACCATCGATGGAGATGCACCACAATAAATAGGATTTCAGTACCACACTGTCCTGCCAGGACAGGGCACAATTTCGCTTTGGTTGACAGTACTGCAACAGCATGTCTTGCTGTAATGTTTCTTCGCTGGCCCTTTTATTTCCCTTTGTGCTTGGTGTATTTAACAGTCTCCACCAAGGAATGAAACCCCTGTAACTGCTGGTGCTACAAGAGCCCCCAGCCCTTGGATCCCCCCTGCTCTCATCCCACGGTGCCCACTCCTCTGTGACCCACCACAGGCGATCTTGGATGGTAAGTGTGGGGTGAGCGGGGTTCAGAGGTGCCTTCCCTCTCCATCAGGAGGTGGGCAGCATGGAAAGGGGTTTTCAATGAGCGTTGGAGCACAACGACGCCAGGAGCAGTGTCAGCCGTAGCTGAGAGCTGGCATGGTCCCGAGGGATGGGTGGAGGTGCCGTTACCTGCCTCTCCCTCACCGTGCAGACCACTTCCCGGTGAGCTGTGCCCTTCTGGGGACATCCAGGGGAACATCAGAGCAGCTGTGATGGGGAGCAGTACCTCACTCCTGTACCTCACTCTCATCTCCTCCTTCATCCTGTCAATAACATCCTTGATATTGCCTCGTCCTGCAGGGTGCCGGATGGAAACGTGATTTTTCCCTCCAAGCCCACATGCTCTCGGTGCTGGTGGTGATGACAAATTTGGGCAGCAGGACAGCAAAGAACCCAGGCCCCGGCTGCAGCGTGGGGAGGCAGAAACCCCCCCACCTCGTTCAGCAGTTGGTCTGGAAAACCGGGGGGAGGATGTGGCGTAGGACACCCCATCCCTCGGCCGCATGCGGCATCCACTCCAGCCCGTGCCGTCCCTGCGGGGCTGGCTCCCTGTGCCCCTTTTCCCACCTCCATCTGGGCCAGGCATCCGCGTGCCTGCCCCGTGCTCCCACGGAGGGGACAAGGTCTGGGGTGATGGTGGCTGAGTGACACCCCCATCCGTGTGCCACTGCCACACCACAGGCAGCGCGGACCCACACCTCCGGACTCGAGTGGCAACGATGGCTGCCAGCAAAAATAATGCAGTTAAGAAGTTAATGAAACTTTGCGTTTCCACTGCAGCTTCCGTCTCCAGATGCCAAAGCCCTTTGGGACAAGTGGAGAAACCCCTGTGGCATCAGCAGGGCTTTGGCACAGACTGCTCCCAACTTCTCTGTGATGCAGGTAAATGCTTTGAGATGTTGGAGAAGAAGCTGTGAAGCTTAATTAACTTCTTCCCCAGCACAATGTCTGCCCTGCGATAACTCGGAGAGGAAAGGCTCCTCGCCGGGCAGCGGTGCTGGCATTTCCACAGCCGCAGCGGTGCTGAGCATCCCCCTATGTCAGAGGGGTGTCCCTCGGCCCTTTCCCCCCCTAGCCCAGGCTCAGAGCATCCAGCTGCAGGGCCCATCGTTGGCATGGCTCCAGCCGCACTAATGCCCACGCTGCTGCGTGCCCAGTGCCTTGCCGCGGCATGCCATTGCTTGGCTGCGCTCTGGAATTACGTCTGCGGGTTTCAGTTTTTTGCATCCAGTTCTGGAGTCACCAACATAAGAAGGACATGGACCAGTTGGAGAGGGTCCAGAGGAGGGCCACGAAGATGGTAAGAGGGCTGGAGCACCTTTCCTATGAGGACAGGCTGAAAGAGTTGGGGCTGTTCAGCCTGGAGAAGAGGAGGCTCCGGGGTGACCTTATAGTGGTCTTCCAGTACCTCAGGGGGGCCTACAAGAAAGATGGGGAGAGGCTGTTCAGGAGGGCCAGTTGTGATAGGACAAGGGGGAATGGGTTTAAAATAGAGGGAGGGAGATTCAGGTTGGATATTAGGAAAAAATTTTTTACCATGAGAGTTGTAGAACACTGGAA